GCTGGCGCAGAAGTACGACCCGCAGCGGGAGCGGGAGCTGCGTGCCTGGATCGAGGGGACCACTGGCCGCCGCGTGGGGGACAGCTTCATGGACGGCCTCAAGGACGGCGTCATCCTCTGCGAGTACGACCCCTGTCCCTGGCCTGGGGACCAGGCTGTCCCTTGGGAATGTGCTCCACCCTGACCCCTGACCCTGGCTCGTGTCTGGGGTCATCCTCTGGGAACCCCAACCTTGACCCCAACCCTTGCTCCCGCTGCCCTCAGCTGGGCTGACCCCTGCTCTGCCCCTGACCGTGACTCTTGCCCTGACCCCCTCCCAGGCTCATCAACAAGCTGCAGCCCGGCTCCGTGCAGAAAGTGAATGAACCCGTCCAGAACTGGCACAAGGTGAGGGGGGTGGGGGGTCTGAGGCAGGGGGTGGCCATGGGGGTGCTCAGGGGATGGCAGGGGGGTTGGGTTGTGGGTCCGGGCTCTGAGCTCACCTGTGTGCAGCTGGAGAACATTGGGAACTTCCTGCGGGCCATCACGCGCTACGGGGTGAAGCCCCACGACATCTTCGAGGCCAACGACCTCTTCGAGAACACCAACCACACACAGGTCCAGTCCACCCTCATCGCCCTTGCCAGCCAGGTGACTCCACTGGGGTGGGACGGGGTCCCTGGGGGCAGACTGGGTGTTCCTGGGACCTCCCTATGTCCCGTTGGGAGGACACCACCCACGTATGGGTCCATTCCATTTCCTTACCTGCTGGTTGGCAGGGGCCAAATGGGGCAAAGCTGGAGGCTTGGGGGAGCCCTGGAGAGTATTTGGGGTGTCAGGGGGGCCTAAAAACGATGGAAACCAAGGGAGTTTTGGGGCAGTCCCATGGGAACTTGGGATAAATGTGGGTCTGTGTGGTCCAGTGGGGTGAGGGCCTGTGCGCTTCCTGAGCCCCGGGTTCTCACGCAGGCCAAGACGAAGGGGAACAACGTGGGGCTGGGGGTGAAGTATGCAGAGAAGCAGCAGCGGCGCTTCCACCCCGAGAAGCTGCGCGAGGGCAGGAACATCATCGGCCTCCAGGTGCCACAGGGACACACGGCGGGGGGGACGAGGACAGGGAGGAGCAGACAGAGGCGGTTCCAGTGTCTTGGGGCCAGTGAGTGCCATCAGGAACACTGTCCCCATCCCTCCCCATGACCCTCCCTCTCCCCTGTCCCCAGATGGGCACCAACAAGTTCGCCAGCCAGCAGGGCATGACAGCGTATGGGACGCGGCGGCATCTCTATGACCCCAAGCTGGAGACGGACCATCCCCTGGACCAGGCTACTATCAGTCTCCAGATGGGCACCAACAAGGGTGCCAGCCAGGTGGGGACATGGGGACACTGTCCCCAGGAGCATTAGGGGTGCCAGCAGGAGGGCAGAGGGGTGGAACATGGGCACTTCCATCCCCTTTGGGGACCTCACTGTGCTGGGCCAGCCAGGTATGGGGACACAGGGATGCTGATGTCCCTAGGGGGACCCCAGTATCCTGGGTCAGGCAGATAAAGGGACTTGGGGACATTTCTGCTTGGGGGGGGTATGGTCATGGAGACCCCACGGGCACCAGGGGGGAGGATGGGGCATCCCCAGGGCCCTGACATCCTGAAATGTGGCCCCCTGAGGAGGCTGAGGGAGACCTGGGAGGCTGGGGACCCGCTCAGCCTCCCTCGGGGAGCCCAAGGCCAACATCCCCAGCGCTGCCCCTGCCTAGGCGGGGATGACGGCACCGGGGACAAAGCGCCAGATCTTTGAGCCATCGCTGGGCATGGAGCACTGCGACACAATGACCATCGGGCTGCAGATGGGCAGCAACAAGGGAGCCTCACAGCAGGGAATGACAGTCTACGGGCTCCCACGCCAGGTCTACGACCCCAAGTACTGCGGCGGCCCCGACCTGCTGGGCCAGGACGGCCTCGACGGCCTCTACAACT